GGGTTCCTGGGGGAGGGGAGGGGGGCGTCTCCATGTTTTAACACATAGTTTGATATTTTGCTGTTAGGTTTGAAATTTTCTTGACAATAATTTATTGATCGACTATATGTGTGATCTGCAGCAAACAATACGCAAGCTTGACCCCCAAAACAGTGCATCTGTGTGCGGGAGTACGTCTCCGAATATTTAGTTCCTGGGTGCTCGCCCGGAGACGTCTCCGAATAGTAACTTCTGCCCATTCCGCCACCTCGCCGCTCGCGCATTAATCTGTGCGTGAGCAGCTCAACGCCCAAGACAAGCACACAACAATAACTGTCTATTGAGCTCACGCCGTCCGTTTGTCAGCCCGTCAGTCAGTCACGTCAGCTCTGCCCGTGCTGGTGTGGAATGAAGCGTAAAACTTTCCGGCATTTTGACTTGTGCGTCTCGGAGATCAACTCGTCAGATCTGGATTTTTTCTAGCTTGATGTGAGCGCTGAAGGTGAGTTGTGTGTCGTAATAGTCAAATGTGAGGCGTGCTGACAAAATGAGTAACTTCTCGAATTTTACCCTGACTGAAGTGTCTTTAGGCCATTCTCAAAGTGTGGGGAGGGGAATATTAAACATGTTCTTACGCACAGTAGAATTGTAAATGGGCTGATTCATCAATGTCATGCTCATAACTGAACTGCAACAGGAAACTGCTGCCTTTTCTTTCCTTATCCTTACTATCGTCATTTTTGCTCTACTGCTTTTTAAAAAATGTTTGTCACATTTTTCTGACCCGCTTTTTCTGGGGTGCCTTGATAGTCGAAGCAGACTTTGTGCTTTTGAGTCTAGAGAGGTGAACAGAGTAAGCCTGATTCCCTGTAAGGACTTCTTTGTTGACATCCACCCCTTGGCGCTCATATTACCTTATGCAGTTGCGAGCGCCGTAAAACCTCAACTAAAACTTTAAAAACTTAAAAGTAAATCAGTGGGATGTTACGAATTTTTGTTGCTATTTATTTTCAAACTTCAAATTTTGCCCCCACAGCGCAGATGTGCTTGTATTATACACTTTCTGTCTTTGTTTTGTCTCAAAAAGTCACTTTTTTCCTTTACTTTTATTACGGTAAACTTGAAAACTGCGCAGAGTACAATGGTGCTCTGGTGTGGTTTGCTTCTTTTTTCCTATCAAACATCTGTCGTCTTTATCACGCCTCCTTCTTTTTTGTGTCTGTTACTCTCTTGTAACACCTCTAATCTTTGGCACTTACATGACCTTATTGTGTTGCAAGTGCCATAAAACTCTAATTAAAACTAAACTAGCAGAATAGAAAGGGACCGACCAGGACAACCCTACCGTCGGTTGAAAAACGCCTTTAAAAAATTCACCGTCGTTTCGAGCAGAAAAAAGTCGTTTTGTCAGCCTAACCATTAACGAAAAGGCATGTTGTTCTGAAATTTGAATTCTAATTTATTTTTTAAAACTAATCGTAGTTTCTCTTTGATGTTTTTTCCACTCTAGCATGCAGGGTACCTGATCAGACTGTCGATTCAGTAAGTAAAACAGTTTGGCGCCATAATTTTAAAAAAGTCATTTTATTAGCTTTGGGCAGAGCTGAGGAATACGAAACAAAACAAAACATTTTTCTCCCTTTTTCCCTTGTTCTCGAAAAACAAAACATTGAAAAACTGTTTATTGTCTTGTAATGATGTAGCAATTAATAGTCTCATCCTCTTATCCAAAAATGTACATTCTATCGTTTATGGTATAGTTTGAGGTTGTCAATGCTTCCGTTGTTGTTGTTGTAGTTGTTGTTGTTGTAGTTGTTGTTGTAGTTGTTGTTGTTGTTGTTGTTGTTGTTGTTGTTGTTGTTGTTGTTGTTGTTGTTGTAGTTGTTGTTGTTGCTGTTGTTGTTGTTGTTGTTGTTTGTCGTAGGCTTATCGTTTTCTGGTATCGCCCCCTTTTTTTCCAAATTTGTATAAAACTGGGAGCTTTTTCATACCAAAGCGAGTAGGGCGTGTTTAGAAACCATTCAGCTGTTGCGCAGTAAAAGCTTTGAGTAATTTTGATGTTTAGTTTTAGTTTCAGTAAGAGTTTTTATGGCACTTGCAAAACAATAAGGTCATATAAGTGCCGAAGATTAGAGGTGTTACAAGAGAGTAACAAACACACACAAAAAAGAAGGAGAGATCAGAACGATTATAGATGCTTGATAGAAAAGAAGGGAGCAAACCACACCACCAGAGCACCCACCACCCACCCACATTCTGATTCTGATGTTCTTTGTCCCCAGGAAGAAGAGACTACGCAGTTGCGAGCGCCGTAAAACTTCTACTAAAACAACGAAAGAAGAGAAGAAAAAGCCGACAGAAGAAAGCAGCAAGCTGAAAGTACAGGACTCCCCGTCGGTCAAACGTCCAACAACACAGAGTGAAGGGGCGGCCCAGTCCTCACACAGATCTATACAACTAGAGAAGAACAAGATCAGAAGAAACCTGTGCACCATTCCTAGATTTACTACCTTGTAGTATACGCGCCAGATTACAAGTGTCGATTTTTAGCGTTTTAACAATTTTGATTAGAAATTTTGACCAGAATCAGGCCGTGCAGTGAGCTGTTGAGAAAAAAACCCACTTGTTTCGCGCGCTCATATGGCCTTATGCTGTTGCGAGCGCCGTGAAACCCCTTACTAAACTAAAACTGAGATTACAAGTGGGCCCAGTGGACATTCTGATGTTTTTGTCCCCAGAAAGAAGAGAAGAAAAAACTGACAGAAGAAAGCAGCAAGTGGAAACTACAGGACTCCCCGTCCGCCACACAACGTCTTACAACACAGAGTGAAGGGGCGGCCCAGTCCTCACACAGATCTATACAACTAGAGCAAAACTAGATCAGAAGAAACCTGTGCTCAATTCCTAGATCTACTACCGTATAGTATACGCGCCAAGTGGGTCCAGTGGACATTCTGATATACACAAAACTGATCTATTATAGTGATTGAGAGTGAGAGAAGGTTCCACTGAGGAAAAAAATAGCAAATAAACTAACTAACGGACGAACGAATGAACTGACTGACTGACTGACTGACTGACAGACTGACAGACTGACTGACTGACTGACTGACTGACTGACTGACTGACTGACTGACTGACTGACTGACTGACTGACTGACTAAGTAACTGACTGACTGACTGACTGACTGACTGACTGACTGACGAATGAACGAACGAACGAACGAACGAACGAACGAACGAACGAACTGACTGACTGACTAACTAACTAATTAAGTAACGAACTGACTGAACGACTGACTCACTGGCCAACTAACAAAAAACAATACCAAAACCAAACAAACTATGGCCATCTGTCGGAGCCCCGTGCTATGTGTCATACTCCTGACGACTCTGTCAACGACTGTGCGAGGAGCGAGAGAGTGTATCTTTATGACACACCGCCCTTACCGATCCACCGTCTCCACCACCTCATCTGGACAACCTTCCTCCTGGGAAAACAATTTCTCCAAAGACATCTCGCGTGGCAGAAGTCAGATCGACTGCGCGGTCCAATGTGGTTTGAGCGACGCCTGTCTGGGTGTGCGATGGGCGGTGGAGAAGAAGGAGTGTCATCTTTACAGACTGTGTAATAATAATTCTGATGACGTCTGCGAGGAGCCAGATCTGGGAGGAAATTCGGGCACCCCCAGATTTTTAATGAAAGTCAGACCAAAGATAAATCCATGTAGGAACAACGGGAGCTGGGAGGTGGAGGTGGATGCTGGAGGTGGGGGCGGTGGGGGTGGCGGCAGGTGTTCCTGTAGAGATGGGTGGGTGGGCACGTGGTGCGGCAGACGACCCAGCAGCTGCGGAGAGCTGAAGAGATACAGGTACCCCAACGGTTTTTACAGCTTGCTGTCCATCCAGTTACCGCGCCACCCCGGACCCATCATCCAGGTCAGGTGTGATTTGTTGGACTTCCAAGCGTACACGTTTATTTTTAAAAACAGAGGAACGACAAGCAAAAATCTTTCATGGACGGAATACGTGGATGGATTTTATCAGGACGAGATGAACTTTTGGTTCGGTTTGGAAAACATGCACAAATTCACGGACAGCGGACACAATTATGTGTACCTAGAGTACGTCTTCACGTATGACTGGAATTATAACGCTGACATATATAAGTACAGCGGCTTCAAAATCGGGGACGCAAGCTCTTCTTACTCAGTCTCCGTGGAAGGAAGCGAATTCAGCCTAGTTGGTGAGTACAACAAAACGTCTCGCGCTCGTTTTAGGGATTGCATCAGATTCATCAACGGCACCCGTTTCTCCACTGTCGACAAAGACAACGACGACAACCGCCTGCAATCTTGCGCCTCGATTAGGCAGACGGGCTGGTGGTTCAAAAGTGTCTGCAACCTTTCCTGTAACCTGCTCGGGCTGACTTACAAGGTCACCGATTTGAATTTCAATCAGGACAGTCACATAGGCGCCGTGCTCTCTGGTTCTGAAGCAATGAATAACTATCCTGGCTTAACGGAACTTAAGAAACACCTGGGTGCAGTTGTCATGTACTTTGTGGAATTCTGGTGAACGGAAAGTCATCTCTACACTTGAGTCAGTGACTCACAATATTACATTGATATATGGTCGTTTTTAAGGACAAGTGGGCTAACCCTGATTTGAAAATTTTAAATTAAAATTTTTAATTTTTTTTTTGTTGGGGGGGGGGGGGGGTTCCAGAAATCTTGACCTACACCAAAAGTGGGCATTGCCCTACCTATAGGAGAAGCTTGGTTTCATTGGTGATATGTAATATTATGTATATTTTGTTTGGTTATAGAGAAAACTCTCCTTGTCTTTTAAAGAAACTGAACAAGGGTCGATTTTCTCAAAACAGCGTTTTTCGGGATAGCCCTCTTTGGGTTCAGTTATGATGTACTTCGCAAAATTCTGGTGAATGAAAAGTCCTCTCTACTTTCTGTCAGAGACTCACAATAAATGGTTGCTTTTAAGGACAAGCAGGCTAACCCAGATTTCGGGGTGTTTCCAGAAATCTTGACCTACACCAAAAGTGGGCATTGCCCTACCTATAGGAGAAGTTTGGTTTCATTAGGGTGTATAGGGCCTACATTAAAATTGTGTTTGGTAATAGAGAAAATTCTCCTCGTCTTATAAAGAAAAACTAAACAAGGGTCCGCGAACTTTACCTTCGATATTCTCAAAACAAATTTTTGCGGGATAGCCCCCTTGTGCCTCAAAGCGACCAAATTAGATGGCAGAAGATATTCGGAGACGTCTACAGCGAGCACCCAGAAACCAGAAACTATTTGGAGACGTACTCCCGCACACAGATGCCCTGCTTTGGGGGGGGGGGGGGGGGATGCGTATTACTTGCTTCAGATCACACATATAGCCATTAAAACTGTCGCAAATAAATTATTTTCAAGAAAATTTCAAAGCTAACTGCAAAATATCAAATCATAGGTTAAAACCTATGCCCTCTGTAACCCCCGCCCCCATCTTTTTACTTGATCTGAAGGCTCAAAGCATTTTGATTGGTCTATCTCCGTCGGAGACGTCTCCGGATAGTTACGGCGAATTGGATCGATGTTCTCTGTGGTGAGGTAAAGAATTGTGTCTCGACGCGATGGAATCAGGCGCTCGTCCATTTGTTGGGCGTGTACAGTTACTGGTATAGCCTGAAAGCTTTTTCATGTGTCTTGTCTTTGATGAAAAATATAGCTATTTATCTTGAATAGAAGTCCAAATATTTCCAATTGAAGGAGGTCAAGGTCGCTTGGCTTCAGAGGTAAAATTAGCGAGAAAATGGCCGCCAACGTTTGTTTACTTACAACACCTGAGAGTCCTTGGAAACTGAAAATTTACTTTTTTTTTTTGGTGCCTTTAATCAATACATTTACGTAAAATCCACACAAAAATGTGTCTTCAAATGGACATAACAGTAAAATGTGTTGAGCCAAAAAGAGAACATTAGCAAAATAATTGCCCCTCGACCGAAAAAACCCCAATTTTTTAAAAATTTCATTATTTTGATGAACGCCTGATTTCACCACACTGCCTCACAATTAGAAGTTAAAATGTCTACAGTTGTACCGCAAGCGATTGTGAGATAACGAGAGAAAAGATTAAATCCTCATGACTGGAATTCTAGTTTCTAAATCAGACGTGTATTACCGTTGTCATATTATATGGTCGCTTTCAAGGACAAGCGGGCTAACCCAGATTTCGGGGGTTTCCAGAAATCTTGACCCACACCAAAAGTGGGCATTGCCCTACCTATAGGAGAAGTTTGGTTTCATTGGTGAGTATATTTGTTTGGTTATAGAGAAAAGAGTCCTTCTATTTTTAAAGAAACTGAACAAGGGGCAAAAACTTTATCTTCAGTTTTCTCAAAACAGCATTTTCGGGATAGTCTCCTTGTGCTATGAGG